GTCCCAAGGGGAAAAGAGCAGCAAAATCTTGGAAAGGCATTTCTCCTAAAAAAAGAGATGCTGTTTTAGGAAAAACAAGCGAATTCATACCTCTTAAAAAAATGGCCATAACATCGCGTGATGGTTTCTTTGGCCCTGGCCAAACGCCAGCAAGAATGATATTCTCAAGACAATATCTTTTTTTGCGTCGAATTTCATTGACAACCAATAGCACTGGCCATATTGAATTATCAGAACCTTTATTTGGCTGTACGCCATCAATGTTCATTGTTAATGTGACGAAAAGATCAGTTTCTTGCTTCAAACGATTTTTATAAAACGAACCATCAACAATATCATGCATGAAGTCTAAAGGCGGTTTCGAAAGATCTTGAAACACTAGATCTGACGTATGCAAAAGTATTGATTCTAACTGCAAGTCAATATCAAAGTGATAAAATATTGGAATGGATGGTGCAGGTACAATTTTATCATAATTGATATTACATTGATTACAACACCTGACTTCTTCAGACATATTTTTGCAGGATGGACAAATGGATCGTTTCTTTGCACTATGACCGTCAGTAGATTGATTACGAATCAATTTTTTGCATTTCCACCAACTAGTTGGAACATTCGGTACACCAAGAATATGTAAAAGATTCAGAATATCTGACAAACATTTATTTGATAACCGATGCCGAGATTTGAGAATGATTAGTGCAGCAGCTATATCAATAGCTTCCATTCGACTACCTTTTTTGTCAGATAACTTCTCGATTTCATTTCTAGAGTGAAAGCATAATTTTTTCGCTGGATCATAAACAATCAGGTTTCTCACATAGCATTATCAAGCATTGATCTCCACGAACCGGTTGGTAATGACATACGAGTTTGATCATCGGTATTCCTATCGGGCCCAAAATCAATTTCAAAATTTGAATCAACTGTTTCAGTTTCCACCACATCTGCATCAATTTCTCGTACATCCGTGTCAATATTTGGCATATCCCGATCAGTTTCTTCATTCAAGCTATTCACTTTAATTGCTAATTGTTGACCTAATAATGTACGTATTATAGAACATTCTATTGAATATTTCATATAATCTCACCAAATGTGATTTTACTAGTGGTACTAAGTCTTTTTCGATATTGTGCAAAACGAGACATTTCGATTTTGAAGAACGTTGATTATAATCTATTTCATAGAAATCTTATTTTGATTTTATTTTTATAAGTGATACTTTCGTAAAAAAAAAACAAGAATATACATAAACTATAATAAAAGTTCACAAAACCCAAGTTAATAGTATTACAATAGTTATCGATATATCACTCTTCAAAAAACAAAAGTTCATGAATAATAATAGAAAAAGCATGTATTCACAAAACACACAATTCACAACATATTATTTGCATTAAAATAGTTACAAATATGAAGTTTACTTTTTCGAATGAACACCATATGAACATTAACTGTCGAAGTCGCTGTTTTCTTTATTCCAATTTTCGGCCTGTTCATCTCTTCGGCTGTTACTGGTAGCAACTTCAAAAACATTGCGACAAGCTTTGTTCAATTCTCCATCTGTTTTGTTTTTTTTCAGCAGGATTAAGTCGTCTCGCTATTTCTAAACAAGAAAATATGTTACGAAAAATATCAAAATTGTTGTTGTTTTTACCTAAAACAGCATCTCTTTTTTTAGGAGAAATGCATTTCCAAGATTTTCCTGCTCTTTTCTCCTTCGGAACCATCTTTGCCACGAGTATACGACATGTTTTTGTTATCGAATGTGCTCGCCCACATTCGTTCAAATCAGCCACGTCTACGTTTAAGACCTTACACAGGTCAGATAGACTTGTTCCTTCTGGATCTTCATTTTCGTCAGTATCTTCACCGGCTAACAAACGACCAACTTCAATGAAAAATTTGATTGTTTTTGGATCTGTTGGTCTCGCTAAAAAATCGATTAATATTTAGCAAATGAACTTTTAAACAAACTTACGCATCCAAGTACTCTTAAAAAGTTCAACTTGTGCTTTTAATTTCTCATTTCTCTTATTCGTTGCTTCATATTCTGCTGCAGATACAGAAGTCTTTTTTTTTGATGGTGCAGGATATAGTTTGATGTGCTTTCGTGCTTGTGCTTCTGATTCTTCATTTTCATCAATTGAGCGTTTAGTCGAGCAAAATGATTGATCATCTACAAAGAGAAATATAAAATTATGATTCAAGTTGAATCATTTTCCTATTTAAAAAGTCAGGTGTATAATATCTTTTTTTAATCAAAAATATTAAATGTTTGTCATAAGATCTGAGAAAGCTAATTATTTGTTTAAACGTTATCTGAAAATATTTTTCATTTTTTCTACATCGATAGGTTAAATTTCCCTTTTTTAAATCCCATTGTCTCTATTTTTAAATTTTTTGTTAAAGAAAACATAACCCAAAATTATTTTTGAAATTTGAAAATTTAACGTACTATCCAGTCTCTTTGTAGCATATCAAGTAGTCTAAGAAACGATTAGTAATCATTACAGAAGCTAACAACAAGTGGTTTGTACAGCCATGTGGAAACTGAAAAGATTAAGGTTTTTACTGAAAAAATATGTTACATTTTTGGTCTTGAAAATAAATAAAAATTTTATTTTTCAATGAAATTTCATTAGCTATTTCATATTAAGCAACTTATAAACATAAAAGATGCATGAATTTTCGCTAAAATCGTGAATTTATTTTGATTTTTACATGGATGGTAGATTCTTGTATGATAGCATAAAACGTGGTGCTTGACTATCTCGTAAAACTCTCCTCTATATGTTTTAGCATGGTTGATAGTATTAAAAGGTTGTAAAACTCTTATTTTTATAGCGTTCTTTTTTCATGAATCAACTAAATTCTCTGTTTTTCTGCAATTTTAATTAAAATCTTAATGAGCACATGAGCTCTGATAAGCAATAAAATATAGTTAATTCTCTTTAGAGAGCAACACTATGTGCATTGTGTCTCATTTTTCAATTCCATAAATATTATGCTGAATGTTGCTAAGATCTACAATTTCTTAAAATCTACAGCTAGAGTATAATTTAAAGCGACACCTTGAAAGATAAAAGCAAATTCAAATATTAACTTGTGCTATTAAACTGAGCGATTAAATGGTATCCTGAGAAGAAGGAATTTGCTATTAATAAAATAAGATAATGAAACTATTGCATTTTGATCCATCTCTTTAAATGCGTGATGGAAATTTTTCTTACTTTTCGATGTGGAAGAAGCATCTTTTGTATTTGTTGTTGATCCATTATCGTCATCACGTATACCTTCATCAATTATTAATCTAGATTCTGAAATTGTGTCAATTGAAGATGTAGAATCACTTGAGTTGTGCAAACTACCAACATCTTTTGAAACATTCGAAGGAGATAAATGTGCAATTGTAGTAGATGTTGTGGTACATTGCGAATAAATTGCCCGTGAAGCTGTTGGTGTTGCAATACCTCTTAAGACAACATTTGAGGTTTCATCATCTAAAATATGAATTGATAAATATTAATGTCAAAAGGGGCGTTTTCAGCTAGATAAACCAATCTATTAGATAAGGATTTACCTGTTGATGAAGATTCAGTTGTTGAAGATTTACTTGTTGATAAAGATTTTTTTGTTGACGTAGATTCAATGTTTGAAAAAGATTTAATTTTTGAAGATGATTTACCTATTGGTGCTGATTTATTTGTTGATTTAAATTTAGTTGTTAAAAATGATTTATCTTTGGATAAAAATTTGCTTTTTGATAATGATTGACTTTTTGGTGACGATTCAATTGTTGATAAACATTTATTTGCTGATGAAGAATCAGTTGATGATGACGATTTATTTGTTATAGATTTATTTGATGATGATTCTTTGGTTAATAAAGACTGTTCAATTACTGTTTTTGTTGCTTCACATTGTTCTTTTGTACCTAGTATGTAAAGATGTTAATAAAAACAATTAAATGCCTTTTTAAAAAGAGATTAACTAATTTTATTTTTTTCGTAATTTGTCGCTTTGCTATACTGCCGTCCGTAGTTATCAGAAGATTTATTACCGAAAATATGATCGTATTTTCTTGACTTACCAAGAGCGACTATTTTACCATGACCTCGTTCACTGCGACTTTTACCACCCCAAGATATATCATCACCTGTCTTTAGTTGATTTTTCTTTCGATGAGTAATCAAATCATCAGATTTTATTAAATAAAGCATTTCATTCTTTCCTTTGACGAGTGCATAATGACATTCAGAAAACTTTGCTGTTGACATAATACAGTTGTTGATGTATAAATATCAGAATATTGTAATAAATAACGATTACTATAAATATGTGCAAAATTAGCCGGAACCTCAAAATTCTTCAATACCTAAATATATAAAAAAAACATAATGTAATAAACAATATAGTCTTTAAATTGTCGGTGTCGATATATAAAAATTAAACAATAAAATAGTTGACACTAAAAATTAATGTATAAAAGTAACTGTGCGATTAAACCTGTTTTCCTAGTGAAATATCAAATAGTCATGTACAAATAAAAGTAAACTATTTATCTGTACATAACGTACGTACACAAAGAGAGTTCTTTGTCTATACATAATGTATATAAAAGAAATTGTTTATCTGTTTGTGATGTACAGAAAAGAAATCCTTTGTCTGTAAATAATGTGTAAATATAAGAAAATCTTTGTTTTTCAATATGTAAAAAGAGATCACATATAGCATATACATTTTCTGTTAGAAACTACTTGAACAAATTTCCACTTTCACTGTGACACGAGACATCTATACGTTAAGAGCTGAACACATATACACGCGCATGCTAGAGACATCTATAATGAGAATAAAAAAAATGAAATGAAATGTTACTCTCATGATTCTATTTCTTAATTTAAATCAGAAAATGACTTATATTGCAATGAATAAGTTTATTACACTGGGTTCAATTCACGAGAAAAAAATGAAGCAAGAGAAGATCCACAATACTGTAATAAAGTAAGTGCCAGCAAGTTGCACAATGCAAAACTGAATTTTTTTTAAACAGTGAGGACTAGTAAATTTTTCTAAACTGTTTGTCTTATATGCCTTAGTGGCAAAATAATGAACGACATAGAAGAGGTATCAATTTGTTTCACAACAAGGGACAAGTTTTCTAAACTATCATTCTAGGTTTAAAGTTATGAGGATTTACTTTTTTTAAGTGAAAAGATTAGATGATGTGCTAAAGAAGCTCTAGACAGTTCGATTTAAAACCAGTGTCTTTTATTGGTTTTCTTGACAATCACTGAGAATAATACTGAAGTTTGAGAAAAATGCGTACCTAAACTTAGATATCAGCATTGACATTTTAGATACGTTTGAATTTCGTTTCTAGAGTAAGTGTATAAATGAGAAATAGAAATACTTAGTATAGTAAAGAAACTTGAGTGTGATGAATGCAGTGAATAGGAACATCATAGACGGTATGAGTGTAATGTGAAAGACTAGATTTAGTACTTTAAATTTCTATATGTAATGTAGGAATAGTTAATGATTTCAACTGGTAGCTGGATAATATATGCGTATATGTATACATATGCAAGACTTATAGGGTTATATTTAAGTCTGAGGGTCTATAAAAAAAAGATATATTCTTGTTAATAGAATATTCATAAGTTATCTGTTTAAAACAATGTTGCATTTCTATGATATTCATGTCTTAAATTTAACTCGTATCCCACAAAAATGGTGAAAATTTTTCGTCATTGATGTTTGCATATCTTAGGAATGCAATATTATT